ACACAGGTATGCTGGCTCTCTGAGGTTGACTGCAGTTTGTCTTAAAATTATTTGAATTCCATCCCTGCTGTCAGGAAGAGCTGGTAGCACCTGAAATTTCTTTCTTTCTTTTTTAATTTTGAAAATTGTTCAAAAAGTAGTTCACAGTAATTGTTTACATTCAATATTTCAATACCAATCCCACCACCATTGTACCTTCCCACCGCCATTACTTTGAATCTTCCCACCACTATCCCAGCCTACCCCTTAGGCAGATGTTAAATAGTTTATTGAGCTTATAGAGCTGACCCTGAGGTGGGCTTTGGGTGTGACTCACAAATACCTAACTTTTTGCCATTTAATTTCTCAGGAAACTTGGTGTCAAGTTGTTGGGGTCTGGCCAGAGGCACAGTGGCAAGTTCGGAGTATCACGAAGCCTGAAGGCTCCATCTGGCTGCCAATGCACTTGCCCACGGGTACAGGTTGACCTGCTGGGCGGCACCATACCTTCCAGTACTGGCCTCTTTTCAAAACTGAACTACAGGGCCATGTCCAAGGTACCTTGACTTTTCAAAAAACTTTATTGTTTTTATAAAGTTGTTCACAATAATTCATTATATTTAATATTCAGACACCAATCTCACCACCACTGCACCTTTCCAACCACCATATTTTGAAGTTTCCATCCCAAGTCCCAAATCATTCCCCCTGGAGCAGAAGCAAAACAATTAATTTTGAATTGCTTGTTATGAATAATCTGCTAAAAATGGTCCAGCAAAATTTCCTTAGAGAAAAGTATGTGAAGATTGTTCTGTTTCATCCTGGAGCCATCAAGCCTTTGTATAAGAGATTACTAACATGTTTGTTAAACCCAGTCACATGTTGTGTGCTACTCTTGGTACATCAATGGTGTAGAGTATGAGAAATCCAGGAATTCTAAAATTTAGAATATGATTATGCATCAGATTCACTCATGGGTGAGACCTATGTTGCTCTCTTCTGTGAGCTTTATTTCAGAGTCTCTGAATCATGGCCGTTGATGAGATTATATGGCACCAAGGGACGTGTGTGGGTGTGACTGCCAAGCTACTGGTGAACTTGGGAAATGAAGGGGGGGAGACGATCCATTCCTGCTCCCAGTGAGCTTGGAGATTTCGGCCAGGGGTCCCGCATACCTGGGTTTTTCTGCAGATTTGCTCATGGTTGAGGCTCATCAGAGCCTGTGGAGAGTGGCCATGAGCATGGTGGTGTTTGGGTTCTGGAGGTTTTCGGCTGCTGGGGCTCTGTTGGGGTGGGGAAGGAAACTTACCTGCCCCCCTCCCAGTTGCCCTGGTGAAGACAGCCTGGTGCGGGGACTAGACATGGTACCTTGGCATTTAACTCCACCATAGAGAAACCCAAGTTTAAGGACAAGTGATGTGGAGTCTATGAGAGTACACAGGGACACAGATATTTGACTCCTGGAATCTCTGCCCAAAACCCTGTAACAAACCAAATTCTATTTATCTTTCTCTTTATGCTTATATTTACCTTGTAATTCTACATTACAATGGGCCTCATTCCCCTAACTGTGAAAGAGCCCCCAATGGGCAGCTTTAGGAAGGATGAGCAAGGAGAGGCTGGTAAAATCTCAGAGCTGAAGTAGGCGGCCAAACGAAGGACTAAACTGACCGACTGTACTGTCAATGCACATATGCTGACATTAGAAGCATCCATCGAGAACCTGATAGTGTAACGCGAAGATCAAGTACTACATCATTGGTCTGACTGAGATGAGAAGGCATTGATCACATCATGCCATTTTCAACACTGGAAAAGAAGTGTTCCTCGGAACATGTGACAGTAGAAGCATCGGTGTCCTTGTCAACACGAACTTTACCACGAGCATTGATTCATTCTAGTGTCTTACAACCCCGTACGGACGATTATGCTTGACTAATGTGGCTCATCGCCAGCAGTTTCATCATCTTCGTCGTCTATGCACCAACATCCAATTATGATGAAGGAGAAATTGAGAAGTTCTACATGGAGCTGGAGAAGTTCTATAAATAAGACCACACCTTCTACAAGATCATTGTCAGTGATTTTAATGCCAAGATGGGACTGAGAAGGTCGCCTGAAGAACTCCACATTGGGACCAATGGCCTAGAATGGAACAAACAAGGTGAGAGACTGTCTGAGTTCATCATGTAGACCAAGACCATCCATGGTAACTCACAGTTACAGAAGGCTGAATCTAAACATTGGACAGGGGAGTCTCCCGGTGGACAGTTCCATAATGAAATTGACCACATCATATTTAATCGATGGTTTTGCCTGACTGACGTCACTGTTGTCCCAAAATTCCAAACGGGAAGATGGCGTCATTGACAACATCGATGAGGAATACAATCGACTGGTTCAGCACCTCAGTGACTGTGAGAGGAATGCCAAAAGTGGGAAAGTCACTAACGGATTCCTGTTTTCAGTAACTCTAGAGCTCATTCATCAACATGGTTTGGCACGAGCCTCAGGCAACCACAAGCTAACATCCGAGCTCACAAAGCTGTGCAGAGAAGTGATAAAGGAATTCCTCAAAGAAGAGCAGAAGTGCTGGTAGATGCGGCAGAAGCCGGGAAAAGTATTCGTAACGCCCGCCTGTCCTTCGCCAACTACAAGACCAAGATGACTGCCCTCCGACATCCTGATGGATCTATCACATCTTCCAAAAGGGCAATGGAGAAGATTATCCATGACTTCTACTCAGCTGTCTTTGATAGTCACGTCCACCTGCCCACATACCAAATTCCACAGGATGGATATGTTGTTCCCAACATTCTCCCTTCTGAAATCGACACGCCATTTCATGGTAAAGAAGTGTACAGCACCTGGTCCAGACAAGATCAGACCTGAACACCTAAAGAATCTGCTGCCAATACTTGTCAATACACTGGCTTGGCTCTTCACATGCTACCTGTCTGAATGCAAGTTCCATCCCAGTGGAAAACCAGAAGGACCATTCTTTTGTACAAGAAGGGAGACATCCATGACATCGACACTATCACTTGTTGTCCATCATCTACAAGTTGTTCACGCGAGTCATCCTGAATAGAATAGGCAGAACATTAGACAAAGGACAGCCATGTGAGCAATCCGGGTTCCGAAAAGGATTTTGTTTTGGGGCCACACCAGTTCTTGTTTAAGGCTTATGCCTGACTCTTCGCTTAAGGTTCACTCTTGGCTGTGCACTCGGAACTATATAAAGTTCTGGGTATCAAATTCTGGTCAGCCATTTGCAAAGAAAGTGCCCTACATTTTACACTCTCTTATCCATTTCTAGATAGTTTTTTTAATCTTGCCAACTGTTTTTAACTTTTTGTTCTATTCATTTTTGCTTTTTTGGTCACACCCGGTGATGCACAGGGGTTACTCCTGGATCGTGCACTCAGGCATCACTCCTGGTGGTGCCCAGGGGACCATATGGGATGCTGGGAATTGAACCCAGGTTGGCCGCGTGTAAGGCAAATGCCCTACCCGCTGTGCTATCACTCCAGCCATGGAACTGGAGCGATAGCACAGTGGTAGGGCGTTTACCTTACAAGTGGCCAACATGGCCGACCCGAGTTTGAATCCTCCGCCCCTCTTGGAGAGCCTGGCAAGCTACCGAGAGTATTTCGCCTGCACGGCAGAGCCTGGCAAGCTACCCATGACGTATTTGATATGCCAAACACAGTAACAACAAGTCTCATGATGGAGACGTTACTGGGCCCGCTCGAGCAAATTGATGAACAACGGGAGGACCGGACCGTGACCGTTCTATTCATATAGTCTTGGAGGGGGGCGGGTTGAGTTTCCCTCCCTGCCCAAAGCAGAGCCCCGGCAGAGCCCCAGCAGCTGAAGATCTCCAGAACCAACCAGAACCATGCTGAGACCACTCTCCACATGCATGAAGGTACTGGCAGAGGAACAAAGGCATGCGGGTTCCAGGGCTGAGATCTCCAAGCCTGCTCAGATCGGGACTGAGCATCCTCCACCCAGATCCTCCATCTTCCAGTAGGCAGGGGTCACACCCACTAACTGCCCCCCCTCCCCCATGCACCATGTAATCTCATCAACAGCCAAGACCCAGAAACAAGATCCAGAAACTATAAAACCCAGCTCCCGAAGCTTATTATCTCATTCTTACTTTGGACAACCTGACAGACTACTGAATGTAACCTGCCCACACAGCAGAGTCTGGCAAGCTCCCTGTGGTGTACCCAATATGCCAAATACCAGTAACAATGATGGATCTCATTCTCCTAACCCTGAAAGAGCCTTGAATATGGCACTTTTTAAAATCTCAGGGCTAGGGTGAAGGAGACATTACTGGTGCCTGCTCGAGGCAATCGACAAACAACAGGATTATCGTGATTGTGATCAAATAGTCTTAAGTTTCATAGCTCAGAAACTCCCAGATACTGTGACTATATCACCTGACTTAATAGTTCCAATACTTTCTCTTATAATTTCCAGCTCTTAATTTTTTACTATTTTCTTGAAATTTTGTTTGCTTCGAATCCTTATTGTAACTAAAGAACTTTAATTTAAAAGTTTTAAAGCACTTTAAGGAATTAAAGCACTTTCTTTATTTTTTAATTTTTTTTTAATTTTTAGTGAAACACCATGAGGTACAGTTGTAGATTTACAATTTTTTTGTGCTTGGGTTTCGATTATAAAATGATCAAATGCCCATCCCTCTACCAGTGCCCATTTTCCACCACCATGGATAATATCCCTCCCACCCCCATCCCTCCCATCTCACCCTGCCTCTGTGGCAGGCAATCCCTTGTGTTCTCTCTCTCCTTTTGAGTGTTGTGGTCTGCAAAAGAGTTAAAGCACTTTCTAGTATTGAATCTTCTCTGTCTTATTCATTGTCACTTTTAGAAAATACTTTAGTCTTAGGGCTGGAGCAATAGTACAGTGGGTAGTGCCATTTGCCTTGCACGTGCCCAACCCGGTTTCAATCCCCAGCATCCTGGAAGTACGCCGTTTCTGCTCGGTGGTCATGGCAGTGAATGTGCATGACAAAATGGTGTGCATTTCCTGTATCGTCATTCCAGTGCTGCTCTGGGTCTACAAAAAGTTCCTGGAGCCATACATCTACCCTCTGGTGTCCCCTGTGATTAGTTGGATATGGACTCGGAAAGCAATACCACAAATCAATGACAAAGGCAAAGGGGATTATAAGGGTGCAGCTATAAATGAATTACCAGCAAAGGGACCAACAGAAATCTGTGATAAAAAGAGTTATTAAAGGAGTTTCCCCAGCGGGCATCATTTTAAAAATGGACCTGATTATCTGAAGCATCTTTTTTGTAATTCTCTCTTTTTTCTCTGAGAACAGAATTTTGGGTAGAATAACTATGCACTTAATACGTAGTATTTATATTTAAGATGTACTTCATTATATTTAATGACCTCATTCCAAGTTCTTCTTTTCATTAAATTAGCTTTCATTTCTATCACTTAAAAAAAAAACCAAGAAAAAACAACAACAAAAACAACCCCCAGCATCCCATAAAGAAAAAAATAACTTTAATCTTGTTTCAAGGATACTAAAGTTTCTCTAATGTTTCTGAAAACTAATTTAATTTTTACAGAAATCTCCTAGTGATATACTGGTTCTATTTTCTCAATTCTCTTTCTCTTTTTTAAATGGTGACTCTCGACTATCTTTTTTTTTTTCTCTTTTTGGGTCACACCTAGCGATACTCAGGGGTTAATTCTGGCTTTGCACTCAGGAATTACTCCTCACGGTGCTTGGGGGACCATATGGGATGCTGGGAATCGAACCTGGGTTGGCCGCATGCAAGGCAAACGCCCTAACCGCTGTACTGTCGCTCCGGCCTGATGATCTTCATATTAAGAGTGAAGAACTAAAAACTGAGTGTTCCGGGGCTGGAGAGATAGCACAGTGGGTAGGGCGTTTGCCTTGCACGCAGCCAACCCGGGTTCAATTCCCAGCATCCCATATAGTTCCCTGAGCACCGCCAGGAGTAACTCCTGAGTGCAGAGCCAGGAGTAACCCCTGTGCATCGCCAGGTGTGACCCAGAAAGCAAAAACAAAAGAAAACAAAACAAAAGAACTTGAGTGTTCCCATTTTGTAGTGCTTTTCAAATTTGGCATGGGTTACTTAGTATCAGTATTTTTCTTTTCCTTTTTTTTTTAATTGAATCACCGTGAGATACAGTTGCAAAGCTTTCATAATTGAGTTTCAGTCATAAAATAATCGAACACCCATCCCTCCACCCGTGTCTGTGTACATTTTCCACCACTAATGTCCCTAGTATCCCTCCCGCCACCCCCACCCCACCCCACCCCCTGCCTCTATGGAAGACACTTTCCTTCTTATTCTCTCTCTTTACAGTATCAGTATTTTTCCTATCTTTCTTATTAGAAAGATTTTGTTTCACTATAGGGATACTTTGTTTCCTATAGGGATTTTCAGTCACCAACATTCCATTGTCCTATTGAAGTATATAAGCCTGATCATCAGCATTCTCGGCAGCATTTGGAGGAAGAGGACTAGGAATTCACTATTCCATATGTTGATTTTCACTTAGGTTTTCTGATTTTAGTAAGAGACAGTCACTTTTATTAAAAAAATTTTTTATTAGTTTTTATTTTTATTAGGGCTGGAGCGATAGCATAGCGGTAAGGCGTCTGCCTTGCTCGCAGCCAACATGGCCGACCCGCGTTCAATTCCTCCGCCCCTCTCGGAGAGCCCGGCAAGCTACCGAGAGTATCTTGCCCGCACGGCAGAGCCTGGCAAGCTCCCCGTGACGTATTCGATATGCCAGACACAGTAACAACAAAGTCTCCAATGGAGACGTTACTGGGCCTGCTCGAGCAAATCGATGAACAACGGGAGGACCGTGACCATGACCGAATTTTTATTAGTGAGACACCATGAGGTACAGTTGTAGACTTACAAATTTTTGTGCTTGGGTTTCAATTATACAATGATCAACTACCCATCCCTCCACCAGTACAATGATCAACTACCCATCCCTCCACCAGTGCCCATTTCCCACCACCATGGATCCCGGTATCCCTACCACCCCCAATCCCACCCTGCCTCTGTGGCAGGGCATTCCCTTTTGTTAGGAGACAATCACTTTTATCCCAAGTCCAGAACCCATGTCCTAAAACTTTAGAGCAAAACTTAATTCTGTGCTGGGGAGGAGGGAGAATTGCTTGCCTGAGTGGAATTCTTGAGAATATGGGGGTTTTGCTTTGCATAGAGATTTAGGGAAACAGCTCAATGGAGAACATGCTTTTTTAGCACCCCCACCAAATTAAAAAATTTTCTATTTATTTATTTTTTGGACCACACCTGGCAGTTCTCAGGGTTTAGTCTTAGCTCTGCACTCAGGAATCATTCTTGGAATGCTTGGGGGATCATATGGGATACCACACATTGAACCCATGTTGTCAAGGCAAGTGCCCTACCCACTCCACTGTACTGTATCTCAGGAACTATTTTTTTCTATTATATTCAGTCTTATCTGCATCCTTTCCTTCAGGAATAATTGTCTCCATGTCTCAGGATCTGTGCTTATTGGTCCACTCATGCCCTGCAAGCACCTGGCTTTTAATTTTCTCCAGTATGCTATGTTAATTAACATTTGTCCATCTGCTTTCACTTGCCAAAAATATAGATGTTGTCTTTTATCTACTCTAGTCACTTAATCACTTAACTTCCCGTTAGTCGTCGATTTGCTCGAGCGGGCGCCAGTAACGGCTCCATTTGTCCCTGTCACGTGCTAGTGTAGCCCAATGGCATCTGTTCGCTCAGGGAACATGAAGGGCCTCAAACCAATCGTTCATGATCTTGACGAAGAAGTCTGACCATGTGGTAGGTGGGCGGCCACGCGGTCTTTTGACATCCCGTGGAATCCAGTCAGTAAAAGCTCTAGTCCAGCGGTCGTCTTTAAATCTCATTACGTGACCAGCCCATCTGATTTTCGACACCTTGGCAAATGAGACAGCGTCCCTGATCCTTGATCGTCGACGGATGTCAGAACTCCGGATTCTTTCTCTCATTTGAGTAAAACGTGATATTCCAAGCATAGCTCTTTCTATTCTTCTTTGAGAGACCTGAATAGCGTTCTCATCCTGTTTGCATAGGGCCCAGGTCTCTGAGGCATATGTTAATGCAGGAAGAACAGTGGAATCAAAGAGATGTGCCCGGAGCCGGAGATTCTTCGTCCTCTTAGCTATTTCTTCGACGTTCTTGAAGGCGTTCCAAGCCGCTCTCTTCCTCCTGCGCAGCTCGGGTGCCAGGTCATTTGTCATGTTGACCTCTCGACCTAGGTACACATAGCTGTTGCATTCGGAGATGGTCGTTCCATTGAGAGCGAATGGGGCGTCAGGAACGAGGCTGTTTCTCATAAACATTGTCTTCGTAAGATTCAGCTGTAGTCCTACCTTTCCACACTCACGGTCAAAGTCGGCCAGCATTTGTGCTGCTTGGTGTTATTAAAACAATGTCATCAGCAAAGCGGAGGTGGTGTAGTTGCCGACCATCTATCTTCACTCCCATTCCTTCCCATTCTAGTCATCGCATGATGTTCTCGAGGGTGGCACTGAAGAGTTTCGGTGAAATGGTATCACCCTGCCGCACCCCTCTCTTGACATCAACGATCACTTCTTTGTAGAATGGTGAGATCCTGGTAGTGAATCCGTAATACAGCTCACGGAGGATCCTGATGTATTGGGCTTGAATGCCCTGATTGGCTAGGGCTTCAATGACCGCTTCCGTCTCAACAGAATCAAAGGCCTTCTTTAAATCAATGAACGTTAAACAGAGCGGCATCTTGAACTCCCGAGAAACCTCAATGAGCTTGGTTATCGTGTGGATATGGTCGATGGTGCTGAATCCTTTGCGGAACCCTGTTTGCTCGCATGGTTGTCCTTCATCTAGTGTTCTGCCAATCCTATTTAGTATGACTCGAGTGAACAACTTGTAGATGACAGACAATAGGCAGATCGGGCGATAGTTGCCAATGTCATGGATGTCTCTCTTCTTGAAGAGTAGTATGGTCCTGCTGGTTTTCCATTGGGATGGAACCTTGCATTCAGACAGGTAGCGAGTGAAGAGCCGAGCCAGTGTATTGATGAGTACTGACGGCAGGTTTTTCAGGTGTTCAGGTCTGACCTTGTCTGGGCAGGGTGCTGTTTGTTTCTTTACCGACGAAATGGCGTGTCGGATTTCGGAAGGGAGAACGTTGGGAACGACATATCCATCCTGTGGAATTTGGTATGTCGGCAAGTTGACATGGCTGTCGAAGAGATTTGAGTAGAAGTCATGAATAAAGGTAAAAAAGGTAAAGGCCCTCCCGTTGATCGTCGATTTGCTCGAGCGGGCCCAGTAACGTCTCCATTGGAGACTTTGTTGTTACTGTGTCTGGCATATCGAATACTCTCGGTAGCTTGCCGGGCTCTCCGAGAGGGGCGGAGGAATCGAACTCGGGTCGGCCATGTTGGCCACTTGTAAGGCGAACGCCCTACCCGCTGTGCTATCGCTCCAGAAGTCATGGATAATCTTCTCCATTGCCGTTCTGGAGGATGTGATGGATCCATCAGGACGTCGGAGGGCAGTCATCTTGTTCTTGTAGTTGGCGAAGGACAGGCGGGCGTTACGAATACTTTTCCCGGCTTCTGCCGCATCTACCAGTACTTCTGCTCTTCTCTCTTTGAGGTCTTCCTTGATCGCATCTCTGCACTGCTTTGCAAGCTCGGACGTTAGCTTGCGGTTGCCTGAGGCATGCGCCAAACCACGCTGGCGAATTAGCTCAAGAGTTTTCGAAGATAGGCGACTTTTTGTGGCTATCTCTCTCTTGGCGTTCCTCGCACATTCATGGAGGTACTGAACCAGTCGATCGTATTCCTCGTCAATGTTGTCAACAATGACATCTTCCCATGTTGCCGCAGTAGTACCAAAGAGTTCCCAGTTGGTGGTCATTCTGGGAGTTCTCTTTTTGAACTTTGCAGCCCTTTCTTCCCACTCTGTGAAGTAGAATTTTGCACGAAGGAGATGGTGGTCCGATCCCATTCGAAATTTTGGAACAACAGCGACATCAGTCAGGCAAAACCGTCGGATTGAATATGATGTGGTCTATTTCGTTGTGGAATCGTCCACCGGGAGACTCCCATGTCCATCGTTTAGATTCTGCCTTCTGGAACTGTGAGTTACCATGAATGGTCTTGGTTGACATGATGAACTCAGAGTCTCTCACCCTGTTCGTTCCATTCTAGGCCATGGGTCCCGATGTGAAGTTCTTCAGCTGATCTTCTCGGTCCTATCTTGGCATTAAAATCAACCACAATGATCTTGTAGAAGGTTCCGGAATTCTTTATAGAACTTCTCTAGCTCCATGTAGAACTTCTCGATTTCTCTTTCATCATAATGAGATGTTGGTGCGTAGACAACGAAGATAGAAACTGCAGGCAGTGAGCCA